CTGTTTTACATATAGAGCGGCTTCTGTATATACACAAGGACACGACAGAATCCAAGATGGACGGTGCCTTGGCAGCAAAGGAGATGCCTCGCATGCTTTTCCCCCGCCGCTTCTCCTCCCTCACCGACATGAACTCACTCAACATCGACGAGGCCGGCGTGGACCAGGGCGACCCCAACGGAGCAATGCACCTGTACATCAGCATCGCCCTCGTCATCCTCCTCTTCGGCCTCTTCGGCGCCGTCTCCCTCTTCCTCCACTTCACCTGGAGCCCGGAGCGCGCCACGCGGGAGGTGTGCCTGGACCGGTGCGAGCGAGGCATGGAGAGGCGGGCATTCCTGGACCAGCACGACGAGGAGAAGGGCGAGGAGGACTTCCACGGCTACGACGACGACCTACGGCGGCTGGCAGAGTCACCGCGGCCCAGGCCGCAACCAAAGATCGCCATCCGCTTTGCTGCCTCGTGACTCTGAATAGTTGCACAGAGCCCGGAGGCGCGTCCAACACGCCGGGAAATTCACCATCTCATTGCACATTATGATCTAAACGAGCGATTTCTTCTGTTACTTAAATACAACATTGTCCGGATTCCCCGATAATTCTAATTCTTACTGTTACTACATGTACCTACCATCACCAATACTGCTGTTCACTGTGCCCCGTGGATTTTGGGCCTTCACGACCGATAGACGAGAAGGATCAGGGTTCCTCCTTTGTGGAAAAGAGTGATCACTTCATCATGGCTTCGCTGGAATGAAAACGAGATATCTATGGGGCTCTGAAACGAGCGGGCTTGGCTTGCATACGATTTGCCCACCCTCGGGTAGAATAAAGGAGTTTTTTTCTTCCATTCGATATCCTTTACAAATACAATCTCCCTTGAATGAACGAATGCTACGTCCTCCCCACTTTCCGGTGCCAACTGCATGCTCGTGTGATGACAATGTTCTCAATACGACATTCTCTCTGCAAACGGCCCATTCAGCTGAAAGGAGGCAATGCTGATGCTGTACGCCATAAGCCCACGCTGGCCCTATGGGAGAGTCGTACCGCAGTCCAATCACGCCCAGCGCCCAGAGTCCAGACCTTTGTGTGCATGACTGAGGGTTTAAGGCTGTTTTTTTGCTCGGACCAGGGTGGAGCGGGAGGCAGCCAACAAGGATCTGCCCGTCTAACACGATGCACAATCACCAACAGACTTCAGCTGTTGGTCAAAGGGACTTTCTAGTTAATTTGTTTTATTACTCTTGGCACCGGATGATGATTTCACTCCGCTTGCCTGCCTTCTGCTTTGTATGCCGATGCTCTGGGAGGCCGCCTGTGACTCAGCTCTCTATTCCAACTGTATCAGATTAACAGCTGAGATCTCTCTCTGGGCTACCCAATCTGGCATCGAGAATCTGGAACATCCATCGGTTCTAGTTAGCCCAGTGGGTAAGCTGATTTTAACTACGTCGCATGCCGCAGCCTGTACCAGACCCTCCTCCCCTATACGCGAACGGCTGCTTGCTCCCCATAGCATCATCGCCCTAATATATCCCTTCTCCCAGCCAGGCCAGGGTGCCATGCGTTGTCCGTTTAGCTCAGAAAAATTGCCGTATAGGATCAAACGATGGCAAAGCCCTGCTCCGTCCCGACGGCATTGGTCGACTTGGCAACGACCAATATCGCGTGGAGAAGAAACATGTACCAGCCGAAACCAGCCCAGATCCGCAGCCTGAGTGCCGAAAAAAAGGGTCCAGCGCCGCGTATAGAAAGAATCTAGAACGGCGCGTCGAAGCA